CCATAACATCGTGCATACCTGAGCAGCAGTAAGAGCACAAAGAGGAACTGTTGCAGCCTCATCAAAAGTGATCCCAGCAGGCACATGAATAGCCAGATCCTGCTCTAAGATGGCGTATTCTGCGAATCCTCCGGGACGGGGGGTCACAGAAGTTGCTGGCGAAAAACGTCAGCTTGAAGGGGAACTGTCCATTTGATTTAGCGTACCTCCTTGCAGGAGACCTGCAACGCGATCTCCTACCTGCCACCCCGTCACGCCCGCACCGACCTTATCAACGACTCCTGAGATGTCACTCCCAACAACACGTCCTAGTTCGGTACTGCGTATACCGAGCGTCCACCAAATTCAAGGCGACAGAGTGCACCTTGACTCTGATATTGGAGTTCAGGGCATCATTGAAATCTTGGATCATATAACTCACCGAATCTCATTATGTCCGGGCTCGGGAACAGCGATATCTGCGACAACGGCAGTCTTGTTTGGTGCGGTGACGAGAGCTTGCATTGTGCGGTCCATTTTTCAGAATGTTCAGGATTTGCAATCGAGTCTTGCCCTTATAGACAAACACATGACGGACTTAGAAAGACTCAGACCGGGGGAATGAATAAGGGCGTAAAAAGTGGTAAGGTTCAAGTAAGCTGAAGGTGGAAACAAATTCTGGATAATACAGCCGTCACAAAGAATAACGTAGTCTCAGAAGCCTTCGGCTTAGACCTTCGGGAACTTCCAGGACTCTGGTATATAGAGTATACGTGGGGGTACCAGCTAAGCCTGGTGACCTCGCTGGTGACCTCCGGATAAGGGAACCGAGGTCACCACCTGTATATACGCTTGTTCGGTGAAGTCGCAGGGCCACCACCCTCCCTCACACACTTAAGAACCATTTTTAAATATCCAAGAACCTTCGGTGTGCCCTTCCGAAGCTTGGCCCACCCAAGACAGGTAATCACTGCCCTTCCGGCAAGTCACACGCTTCTCACGACCAGGTCGCCATCTGCTTCAACCAGCGTCTTCTTGCAAAAAAACAGCGTATATTCGCATTCGCGCTTGCTCAGTCCACCACCCCACCAAATTTGCTTGCTGAAAAAAGAGGGGTGGGTGTGTCACGCTGCATACGCGGGCGGTGACTCCCTCGATCTCAGCGATCAGCGCACGTTGAACCTCAACAA